ACCTCCAAGTAGGTATACATACTGTTACTGTAGCTATACATGTAATTACACAAACCTCCAAGTAGGTATACATACTGTTACTGTAGCTATACATGTAATTACACAAACCTCCAAGTAGGCCGAAATGTGACTAGGAACCTCGAGATCACTCTTCTCTCCTGTTACATATGTACCTTTGTTATACACCCTCTAAGTAGCAGGGGGCAAGGTAATTGCTTTGTCAGTGCCTCTGTGCATGTGTTGGTGTCCGTAGTCCGTATAAAACATATCTCATGAACTTCTCAACAGATTTTGTCCACCTTTACACCATGGTATGGTAACATGAATTCCGTGAACTGGTTAGATTTAGATGGTCATCGTTTAAGGTTTAGTTCACAGGTCACACTCAACCAACGTTTGAATTAAAAAACTTGTGTAGATATCACAAGAACTCCTTCCCATCTTTAATTTTTAATTACACCATATCATGGCAACTTGAACTTTTACAGGATTATATTTTGGTGGCCATGGGTCAAGGTTAAAGGGTCAAAGGTCAGACCTGACCACTTTTGAAATAAAAAACTTAATTGTGTACTAGATAGCTCAAGAACCCCTCATCAGATTTAGATTATCTTTACACCATATTGTTGCAACTTTTACAGGATTAGAATTTGGTGGCCATTTCTAGCTCACCTGGCTCGAAGGGCCAAGTGAGCTTATGCCATGGTGCGGCGTCCGGCGTCCGGCCATCGTCTGGCGTCAATATTTTACTTTAAACAACTTCTTCTCAATAACCAAAAGGCCTATGATGATGATATTTGGCCAGAAGCAAACTGGGATGAAGGGCTACCAAGTTTGTTCAAATGAATGACTTTTATATATATTCAAGGTCACAGGGGTTAAATATGTTGAAACCTTTAAACAACTTCTTCTCAATAACCGAAAAACCCTAGGATGATGATATTTGGCCAGTAGTATGCTGGGATAAAGGGCTACCAAGTTTGTTCAAATGAATGACTTTTATATATATTCAAGGTCACAGGGGTCAAATATGTTGAAACCTTTAAACAACTTCTTCTCAATAACCGAAAACCCTAGGATGATGATATTTGGCCAGTAGCATGCTTGGATGAAGGGCTACCAATTTTGTTCAAATGAATGACTTTTATATATATTCAAGGTCACAGGGGTTAAATATGTTGAAACCTTTAAACAACTTCTTCTCAATAACCGAAAAACCCTAGGATGATGATATTTGGCCAGTAGCATGCTTGGATGAAGGGCTACCAATTTTGTTCAAATGAATGACTTTTATATATATTCAAGGTCACAGGGGTCAAATATGTTGAAACCTTTAAACAACTTCTTCTCAATAACCGAAAAACCCTAGGATGATGATATTTGGCCAGTAGCATGCTTGGATGAAGGGCTACCAAGTTTGTTCAAATGAATGACTTTTATATATATTCAAGGTCACAGGGGTCAATTGTCTTAAAAAATCTTTAAACAACTTCTTCTCAATAACTGAGAGGCCTAGGGTTATGATATTGGGCCAGTAACATGCTAGGATGAAGGGCTACCAAGTTTGTTCAAATGAATGACTTTTATATATATTCAAGGTCACAGGGGTCAAATATGTTAAAAACCTTTAAACAACTTCTTCTCAATATCCGAAAACCCTAGGATGATGCTATTTGGCCAGTAGCATGCTGTGATGAAGGGCTACCAAGTTTGTTCAAATGAATGACCTTGATCAACTTTGAAGGTCATAGGGGTCAAATGTCTTAAAATCTTCAAACAACTTCTTATCAATAACCAAAAGGCCCAGGGTACTGATATTGGGCCTGTAGCATGCAGGGATGAATGACCTTGACCAACTATCAAGGTCACTGGGGTCAGATGTCTTAAAATCTTCAAACAACTTCTTCTCAATAACCAAAAGGCCAAGGGTACTGATATTGGGCCTGTAGCATGCTGGGATGAAGGGCTACCAAGTTTGTTCAATTGAATGACCTTGACCCACTTTCAACCTAATGTCCTTGTTCGACATTCAAGGACACAGGCTTCATGTTTAAATCTTTTAATAGGTTCTTGTGAATCAAACACTGATATTCTGCCTGTAGCTCTATTTTAGTCCACTTTTAAGATTACAAGTGTGCGATTAATACCAGGTGAGAGATGCAGGCCCATTGGGCCTCTTGTTACATCATATTATGGAAGCATAGATTTGTAGGTCATTGGCCAAGGTTGCAGGGTCAAGGTTCACACTTGACCACTCTGAGGAGGGATGCAGGGAATCCAGTGAAGTACTCATGTTATCCTACTCTTGTTTTACAGGAGCTGACACTGATCAATTGAAGTTCAGGACAAGCATACCAGGAGCAGCCTAAATATCAGACCAGGCGACAGCTGCATATATCTACAGTATACTGACAGTAGAGCTGATATCACCACTGATGTTTCTACAGTTTTACTGATGTATCAATGAAGGGTAGCTACAGAACAGCTGATAAACCTGCAGTATACCTACAGTATATCTACAGTATACTTACAGTACAGCTGAATACCATGCAGTATACCTTCAGTACATCTATAGTCAAGTTGTTATCACTGCAGTATACTGTTATACCTACAGTACAGCTGATATCTCAGTGCAGTAGAGATACAGTACAGCTGGTGTATCAGCTGGAATATGATGCAGTATAGATTCAGTAAAGCTGGAATATACTGCAGTATAGATTCAGTACAGCTGGAATATACTGCAGTATAGATTCAGTACAGCTTGTGTATCACTGTTATAGCTAAGATATACTGCAGTATTGATTCAGTACAGCTGCTGTATCACTGGTACAGCTGGAATACACTGCAGTATAGATTCAGTACAGCTATTGTATCACTGCACTGTATATTCAGTTCAGATGTACACACTGTTTCATCAGTGTAAAGACCGACACTGCATACTTTCCATAGTTTCTGTGTTCGGACTTGAGATGTTATCTATATTTAGTAACATTGTTAAAAGCAGCACAGAGTCCTTGGTGTATATTACATTGGAGTCACTGCAGTGGACCTTTGGTCTGGATGTCATCAATAGAATGGAGAATAAAAATCTAATCCAACTCTGGTCAGTAGACCCAGAAAATACATTATCAAGTCTGGCTATCGTCCGTAGTCTGGATTATATTCCGGGTAACGGAATTGTTTCAGCACTGTTACTGTTCCACAAACCAAATCTCACATGAAATAACTAAGTTAGAGGAGTTCAATTATTGCAATTCTATCAAATATCATAAATTATACTATTTTAAAGGTACTATTTATCAGCCATATTTCCTAGCAGTATATAACTGAAATAACTTATACATGTATAAGGAATGTATCATGTAGTTGTACAGTGGAACTTCGTTTGTCTGGACTCCAGGAAAATGGCTTTCTGGAAACCTGTACCAAAGATCTTAATTCTTGTTTTCGATCCTTTATTTCGTAACCTTTTTCGGAAGCTGACTTGTCCAGATTTTCGAAGGTTCCACCATATTTACAGCACCATGCTACATGAAATACAGAATATTCTTGGAACAAGAAATGGTAAAATATTTCCAAGTTGCTATCATTTCTTAACAGACATTTAATTTGTCAAAAATAGATTGAAATATGATATTTGAGTTTGTATAAAATTCCTATTACAACTTGAGATCTTTCCATGGAATTTTGGACCCTTGAGTTTCAAGAATATTGTGTTTAACGTGTCAGCTGGGGAAAAAAATGTATCTTACCTTTAGTAAATCTTTTAAGACAAGGGAGATAACTTTGTGAAAATATTGATACAAAATATTTATATTATTTATCTGGATAATAAGAATCACAATGACTTGAAAATGTATTGAATATATACTTGAATTCAATTTATCATAAATTGACAGTTATGTTGATATATTCAATAGCTGAATAAAGTTGAATTTAAGCATCTATACCAAATTTTGATATTACAGGGTTGAACTTCATACATCATTCTTGAATCGGAATATACATTTTTCCAAATGTTAGGATATGAATAATCACAACACAAATGTAGGAGGGTTCACAGATCCATGTCATGCATTATCATAGTGTTAACGAATAAGCCAGGAGAGGTTCAAAAGAAGTAGTAACTTCATTGTGACCTAAAACAGCTCAGTGAGATGAGATAGGAAACAGCTGTTCAAATCGGAATCGTGTACAGTGGACTAGATTGACATCAAAACAGTTTTACACTAAATTTGTCAAAAGGGATGCTTTTATTTAACAGCTAAAACGGTAAATATCTGAATTAATGCCTGAAAAAGCATTCTAGATGATCAGATTTTGCTCAGAGGTTTTGCCATTAGCTTTCAGGAAATTATACCCTAATTATCATGATGCTTTTTTTTTAATATTGGAGGTAATCTCAATCATAATTTTGTGTGTGTAGGCCTTACTAATACTAGTATTCTAAGGCCTCCGTCACTCTGCCTCTCGATTTGAGATGTGTTTTTTTGCGGGTAGTGCCATTTCTACTTCTGCCAGACCATGATTACAATGCATCATTTGGCTAAGCCAATATCAAGCTTGTATTTTTACGCCTTCGTAGCTGTGATCTCTTCTCATAATATTTCGATGTACTCATTGCATGCGAGATGTGTAATCAATTAAGGTTCAATAAATTATTAATAGCAAGGTGACGTTATTCTAGTTTTTATTTCCTCCCCAGCATTTACTTCAAAATCACTTATTCATTCAATAAATTGCCACTCAAAAGTTGTTATTAAATCTAGTAAATCTTTGTTGAAATTCACATCTGTTCAGAATAAATTAGAATTATTTAAGGTTGAAGTATTTTATAGTTTGGAGCAACAGAATCTCTGAAGGACCAAGGTGAGCTTATGCCATACCGTGGCGTCCGTCGTCCGTACGTCAACAATTTCTTTAAACAACTTCCTAACCACACTGATTGGAATTCAACTAAATTTGACTGGAAGTATCCCTAGGTGGTGGGGATTCAAAATTGTACAAATGGTGGGGCTGAAGGGTGGGGCCAAAAGGGGTCAATTTGGCTCTATTGTTTTAAGCGACTTCTTCTCTGGAACTAAGAAGTGGATATCAACCATATTTGACTGGAAGCATACCTAGGTGGTGGGTATTCGAAATTGTACAAATAATGGGGGGGCAAAAAGGGGGCAATTTGGCTATACTGCTTTAAGCGACTTCTTCTCTGGAACTAAGAAGTGTATATTAACCATATTTGACTGGAAGCATCCCTAGGTGGTGGGGATTCAAAATTGTACAAATGGTGGGGCTGACTCCCCAAGGGGCGGGGCCAAAAGGGGGCAATTTGGCTATATTGCTACAAACGACTTCTTCTGTAGAACTGTGCACTGGATATCAATTATATTTGATCAAAAGCATTCTTGGGAGGCAGGGATTCAAAATTGTACAAATGGTGTGGCTGACCCCCCAGGGGGCTGAGGGGCGGGGCCAAAAAGGGTTATTTGGCTATATTGCTTTAAGCGACTTCTTCTGTAGAACTATGCCATGGATATTGATCATATTTGGTCAGAAGCATTCATGGGAGGCAGGGATTCAAAATTGTACAAATGGTGGGGCTGACCCCTGGGCTAAGGGGTTGGGCCAAAAAAAGTGTATAACTTAAAAATGGTTGAGATCCCCACCAGATAACCATGGTATACAATTGCTGAGTGTAAAGAGAAGAATGCACATTTGCTTCCAGGATGGCCCTAGGGTCTGGCCCCACCCTTGGAGACCTAGTCCCTGGGCCATAACTTTAAAAACTGTTGAGATCCCCACCCCAAAACTATATATACAAATGCTGGGCATAAAGAGACAAATGCAGTCACGATATTAGAATTGATCCTGGGGTCGGGCCACAACCCTAGGAACCTAGTTTCTGAGTCAAAGCTTGGAAACAGTTGAGATCCCCACCCCATAACAATACATAAAATTGGTGGGCATGAAAAATCTAATACAGATACAGGTATCCAGGTTAGCGATACAGGCCCTCTGGGCCTCTTGTTTTAACTTCAGTTTAACCAACCTAGTTCTCTGATATGGCATCAATGAAACAGCATGTTTTAATAATTCCTGGGGTTCATACGAACAGGTACAGTTACAGACAATGTGAAATAAAATAGAAAAAAAATCATCATAATCTGAACACAAAGACAACAAGAGGCCCAAGGGCATCAAAGGGCAAGAATTTGAAAATATTGGTAAATGTTCCCTTTGGAGCCCCGCCCTAGCCCCTGGGGATGGGGCAGGAATCCCAATTTTACAAAGTAATACTCTCATTCACCAAAGATGATTCTGACTAAGTTTGAGTAATTTCTGCTGAAAATGGATAAAATATATACCCAAAAGTGTTATTTCCCTATATAAACTATAGTAAACTTTACCCCCTCCCCAAGGGAGAACGGATAGCTCGGGGGTCCTGAAATTTACGATTTAAATAAAGCCCCTGATGATTTTCTTTCCATGCAGAGAAAATGACTGTAGTACTTCTGAGTCTGGAGGAGAAAAAATTGGAAATATTGGTTAATTTTCCCTTTGGGGCCCCGCCCTGGCCCCAGGGGTTGGGGTAGGAATCTCAATTTTACAATTTGAAACCATCTACCTCCAAGGATAATTCTCACCAAGTAAAAATAATTTCCTACAGAAAGTTGTCAAAATATACCCAAAAGTGTTATTTCCCTATATAAACTATAGTAAACTTTACCCCCTCCCCAAGGGAGAACGGATAGCTCGGGGGTCCTGAAATTTACAATTTAAGTAAAGCCCCTGATGATCTTTCTTTCCACGTAGAGAAAATCACTGTAGTACCTCTGAGTCTGGAGAAGAAGATTTTTGAAATATTGATTAATTTTCCCTTTGGGGCCCCGCCCTGGCCCCAGGGGTCGGGGTAGGAATCTCAATTTTACAATTTGAAACCATCTACCTCCAAGGATAATTCTCACCAAGTAAAAATAATTTCCTACAGAAAGTTGTCAAAATATACCCAAAAGTGTTATTTCCCTATATAAACTATAGTAAACTTTACCCCCTCCCCAAGGGAGAACGGATAGCTCGGGGGTCCTGAAATTTACAATTTAAGTAAAGCCCCTGATGATCTTTCTTTCCACGTAGAGAAAATCACTGTAGTACCTCTGAGTCTGGAGAAGAAGATTTTTGAAATATTGATTAATTTTCCCTTTGGGGCCCCGCCCTGGCCCCAGGGGTCGGGGTAGGAATCTCAATTTTACAATTTGAAACCATCTACCTCCAAGGATAATTCTCACCAAGTAAAAATAATTTCCTACAGAAAGTTGTCAAAATATACCCAAAAGTGTTATTTCCCTATATAAACTATAGTAAACTTTACCCCCTCCCCAAGGGAGAACGGATAGCTCGGGGGTCGTGAAATTTACAATTTAAGTAAAGCCCCTGATGATCTTTCTGTCCATGTAGAGAAAATGACTGTAGTACCTCTGAGTCTGGAGAAGAAGATTTTTGAAATATTGGTTAATTTTCCCTTTGGGGCCCCGCCCTGGCCCCAGGGGTTGGGGTAGGAATCTCAATTTTATAATTTGAAACCATCTTCCTCCAAGGATAATTCTCACCAAGTAAAAATAATTTCCTACAGAAAGTTGTCAAAATATACACTAAAGTGTTATTTCCCTATATAAACTATAGTAAACTTTACCCCCTCCCCAAGGGAGAACGGATAGCTCGGGGGTCGTGAAATTTACAATTTAAGTAAAGCCCCTGATGATCTTTCTGTCCATGTAGAGAAAATGACTATAGTACCTCTGAGTCTGGAGAAGAAGATTTTTGAAATATTGGTTAATTTTCCCTTTGGGGCCCCACCCTGGCCCCAAGGGTTGGGGTAGGAATCACAATTTTACAATTTTGTAGCCTTATCTACCAAGGATGATTCTGACCAAGTTTGAAAAAAAGCCATCCACTGGTTCTTGAGAAGAAGTTGAAAATGTAAAAAGTTTACGGACGACGACGGACGGAAAGCGATTAGAATAGGTCACTTGAGCAAAGCTCAGGTGACCTAACAACTGTATCCATGGCGACAATACAGTGATACTTCTTTCCAAGAAACAGAAGACTGGAACAACATCCATGTAAGTGAAAAACAAATATATACATGTACAAACATCTCAGCATCTTAACAATCCAGGAAAGTTGACCATAGACACTCTGTGACTGAGAACATTAACATTGATCATTATAGCACACGAAGAGGCGGAGAAGTCCAACGTCCTATAGGTGTAGGTTGGTAGATGTCTTGGAGGAGGAATCATAGGTGGATACTGGAGTATTCTAATAGATAAATAATTTTTCATTAACTAGTGATTTATGAGAGTGATCGCTGGTTTCATGAATATGTTGCCAGACATATACTAAGAAAGGATCCGAGTACAGTAAGTTGATGCTCCATCTCTTACCTACTTGTTATTGATCATTGTGGACACTGACATCTCATATTGTTAATTATGTCATTATTATACTAACTTTAGCAGCTGTACCTTATTCAACTTACTGTACTCGGATCCTTTCTAAGTGTATGTCTGGCAAAATATTCATAAAACCAGCGATCACTCTCATAAATCACTAGGTAATGAAAAATTAACCATGAAAAGTGAATATCATATCCACAGGATTTTTTTTTTTAATTTTACAGGACAGAATATATAAATATCAACTTAATTCATTTTACAACAATTGTGAAACAAGTTATGTCAACGAATCACTGTTGTTGGCCCGGATGTTAGCATGTAGGGGTCTTGTTGGCCCGGATGTTAGCATGTAGGGGTTTTGTTGGCCCGGATGTTAGCATGTAGGGG